CTGGGAAGTATAATTTCTTAGACAAAAGATGTATCTTGGCCCCAAACTGCTCTTCACAATTTTTACATTCAGAATATGACTGAAATAAGGATCAATTTAGACTCTAGTCTCTCTGCAGAGAAATAAATGATGGGTACAAGCTACAAGACAGGCAGAGCTCTGGATGGATGGACCAGCTGAATACATACACACACAAAAGACCAATCTTGAGCACACATCCTAAATCCCTTGGGTCACCTCGGGCACATCACCTGATGTCAAAAATTCCTTTGGTGGAGGAATTTCTTTGAGGCTGTAATGGTATTTGTGGGTTTGTTTCCCACTATCGTCGTCTACTGAGTACTGTGATAGAGGATTCCTGTTCTGTGGGTTGAAAGCCATTGGCTGACCTTATGCAGATATGTTTTTGCAGGTTATTAATAACTTATCAGTATCAAAAAGTAGTATCAGATGTACCTCACAAAAATCTAAGTATATTCATTATTCTGGCATTTTGAAAGTTCTAGATTGATATTATGGATAAAAATCATTTTAAGAAAAACGTCTTAACTCTGAATTCTTACTATGCCACAGATATATGAGATAATGATTAGATCTCGTAGAATATGCATGGGCCACCTTTATACATGTAAATGACCACCAGTATACAAATATCTATTTATCATAATCCATCTCTATATCCACAATTATATATCTCTATATATAATCCATCCATCCATCTATCCATTCATTCCTCCATCCATCCTCTGGGTCAAGTTCAGTCAATTTCATGGTGAGAAGAAAATTGAAACTAAAAGAAGGACCTCCCCATTATTATAGATACTGTCAGTGCTAATTCTCATGTTACCGTATAAGTGATGATGTAAGTCCAAAAAATTCTTTCTTTTGGTATCATCAAGAATTGCCCTCCTGGGTACCCTATGCAGGAAGAGGCAGAGGTACATGTTTAACAGGTCGCATAGGACATTAACTAATTCATTCCCACGCTTATGTTTATTCTTAGCCCAAATTCAAACAATTACTTTGCAAGCTTTCTCTCATTTCTGCTTCTGATGAGAGCAGCCCATTTGATTTAATGATGGTTTTATATTAAATTAATAGACATTTCTTCTTATCTAATATTAGGCATCAAAAAGGGGTTGGCTCAGAAATTGTAGACGATCATGGGATTTATTTAAACAAAACACAAATGACTCACGTTACCATATTATTAATCATTAATTAATCATTAATTGGTTCACAATTTTCCTCATTTTTGCAGAATGAAGTAAATCCCAAGATCTTAAACAACCTAAAACATTTATTCTATAAAAATACAAACCTAGACAACTGGTTGAAAAACACTGAAATAAAAATGTCTGTGTATGTCTGTGGGTTTTAATAAAGTGAGATCCATTTTGGCACTTGGATGTGAAAATTGAAGACCTACGGGCCTTCTCTTATGCTTTGGCAGATAGAAATTTTATTACTGACAGGGTCTTACCTGTTAGTGTATGGAAATGCCATCCCGGGGAGCATGTGTGAGGAATGAGGGAATAAAAGGGAAGAAGAGAGACCAATCCAAGTTGTGTTCACACGGTGGCCACTGTTCTGAGGGACAGATAGGTGATCTTGTGGGACCTCAGAGAATCCTGCTTGAGAAATTCGGTCTGTGGGATGTGAGTTGAGATGCTGTTAGGTAACACCTGTTTTAAGCTGTCTGCTGTCCTTGTTGAACAGGCTGCCACACTACACACTGGCTGGTGTTAAAAGATGTTCATATTAAATGGTTCATTAAAGGGAGTCATCAAAAAAATAAAAACAAGCAAAAAGTTTCCAGGATGCTAGACTGAAACTACAGAGTAAATAATAAGGGTAAAGGAAAAACATATAGTTTCTTTACATTATGGAAATTAAAGTGTCTCTTAGCATATGACATTAAGAACTTGGAAATCTGACAGCCTTTTAATTAGAAACATTTTAAACAGAACTCTCTTTTTGCTATGTAAGAAATTTTAACAAACACATAGCCTTTAAAAATCACCACTGCTGTTTTAAATTACATTTGTTAAAAGAATTGTTAGACTTCCTTTAAATTGCTTCTGTAGTATATGTGTGTTAAAAAAAAAAAAAAAAAAAAGCAAAGTCTGTCTTCCACTGCATTTTTTCTTACACAATTGGGCCGTGTCTGCTCATAGCATCCTGATTAAAGTTAATCAGGCACTCCAAAAATTCTGTTTAAAAAACTAATTGTACATACGCAAAATTCTCATTAGGAAAATCCACACTACTCATGCAAAGAGTCCTTTAACTTTTTGTCTCGAAAAACAATTGTACCTGATTTTCATGATTTTAATTCTTGCAATCTCCACCCGAAATGCCACTAAATTTTCAGTGAATAAATCCATAATCCACGTCGTATAGTTTCCCTTGAAATGCCTGCTTCCCCTAAAGCAGCGGAGACTTCGGCACAGCGGAAACAGGGCTGGACCGGGTGCCAGGGGACCCGAGGTGCCCACGGAGCCCTGCCAGTGACTTGGCGCGCGCGCAGTGGCCAGGCGGGAAGGCCCGTGCGCCCTCAGCCTCGCCGCCTGCTACTGGCCAAAGGCTAAGAAAATTTTCTCTCTAGAAGCAGACCCAGAGCCAGGCTGACCGCCCTCTGATTTAGCTCCAGCGCTGAGCGACTCTGAGGTTTGGGGCAAATCATGACCTTCCTCTCAGTCTCAGTTCCATCAGCAGTTAATTAAAATGTAACAATACTGAGTTTTGGAGAACGAACCAAAGTGCACTCTGCAGAGCATTAGTAGAGAGGGTGGCCTGTTCCCATTCTAAACATAGAATTAGATGTTTCTTATGATTTGCCCATTTGCGGAATGCACAGCAGGAACCCACTGCCTCAAGTTCTCCGCTGCCCGGGCACACAGCCTCCCCGCACATACGCGAAGGGCTGGACTTCCCTCGTCCCGCAAAGGCTGAACTGGGCCTCGGCTCGTCTTCCCGAGGTCCTGTCCTGCTCTGTCTCCTCCAGGAGGTTCACACACGGATCCCGAGTCTCCCCCGTCCCTCATCAGTACGGACACTCGCTCGATGGCTTCATCCGACCGTGAGTGGGAGTGGGTTCCCCCGACACGGCGTCTCCCTGCAGCTGTTGCTCTCTCGTACCACCACGAGGGCCTGCAGGGCGGTCCACCCGGCCTGCCGCGACTCTCTCCCCTCACTCCGCGTGCCCTCTGGCGGCCTGCTTTTGCGCTTGGCCGTGCACACTGCTCTTGCGAGGGTCATGGCTAATTCCCATGACATAACCCAGCACAGGCTTCTCCCTCATCGGACTCACCGCTCCGCGCCAGGCAGCAGGATGGAGCCCTCGCTTCGTGGCAGGACGCTCCCCCTCTCTCTCAGTTCCCTGTCACTTCTCCTTCCTGGGTTTCCCGCTCTTCAGTCTGACCGATGGCCGGTTTCTTGCCTGGATGCCTCTTGCTGCTCAGCCCGCCCGGGGTGGGGGGGGGCTCGGCCAGCGCGCAGCCCTGGTTCTTCTTCCCTCGGAACTAGTCCCCCGCCCCGGATCCTCGGGGATGGGGGCGCTGCTTCACGCCGCTCAGGCACAACTTTGACAGACAGGGGAGAGAGGCTGGCTCGCTGCATGTAGATGGTCACTCTCTGGCACATGGCCGCTCAGGTTGAAATCCTAGTTCTGCAACTTCCTGGCTGCACGACTTTGAACAAACCACGCATCCTCTCTGCGGGCCTTACTTTAATTCCATTTCACAGGGTTATTGGAGGTATTAATCAATACTGAGTCCTTTAAAAAGTGTCTGGCACATAATAAGTGCTATATAAATACTTAATGCCATTGCTATTTTTACAGTAATTTACATTGTCGCTCCCCGACTGAAACCCTTCCTCCCTTGCGCTTAGAATGAACGTCAGCATCGTTATGTTAGCGTAGCAGGCGCTGCCTCGCCCGGCACCAGCTTTCCCCTCAATCTTAATTCATAGCCTCCATCCCCTCTTGTTCATTATCTGCTAGTGACATGGCTCTTTTTTCTTTCTAAGCTTCTCAGACACGACAACATCTTTCTTGTCTCCGGCGTTTTGCACACGTGCGCCCACCCTGCTTTCACAGGCGGCTCCTTGACGCCCTTTCGCATCAAGTGTGGTATTTCTTCTTCCTCCCGCACAGGACCCCGCGCACAGAGAGCCGGGCTGCTCCCCACTCCCCTGCCCGCTCTTCTGCCTGCGCCCGTCTTTGTTTCCCTCACGGCCCTTGTCACCACGCGATGGCTGATGTTTATGGCTTTGGTTTTGTTCTCTGCTGAAGTGTCGGTGTCCAGACGGCAGGAATTCTGTTTCTCTCTCCACTGTTCAGTGCCCCGCACTCGCTAGGCAGTCCAGGCTACTTGTGCAAAATTAAGCAAATAAAGATATTGAGAGTATTTTTTCCCCCTCTCAATACAAAGTACAACTTTACATAGATCCACCAAGGGAAGTGTTCCAGCCACATGGAAAACACGCTGGCAAATGACCCCAGAGTGAAAGTCTGCGGGCCCTGAGCCGCACAGCTCGTAGGGCGGGCATCGTCCTGCACGTGGAAAGGTCCCCCGTTCCACTCCAGGCCGGGGTGCCCGTCCTCGGTCCCCAGTTAGGACACATAATGGAAGCAACCGATTGAGGCTTCTCTCTCACATTGATGTTTCTCTTGCTCTCTTTCTCCCTCCCTTCCCTCTATCGAAGGAAGGAAGGAAGGAAGGAAGGAAGGAAGGAAGGAAGGAAGGGAGGAAGGAAGGTCTTTTGTGTTTCTGTACTTTTCTGTATTTTTTTATGAGTTGAAGAAAAGGGTTGATACTACTTTGTAACATGTTTGTGTAGTACCACAAATGGTGCTTGTTTCTAAATAAGATAGAAATACTTTTCTATCCTAAAAGTATTTTATACTGTTTATAAATTTTAAAAATTTTAATATATTTTTTTAACTTGGACAATGATACTTTATTTAATAGCATGGATTTCATACATATCCATTATTAGGCCTCCTGCTGGGCCTTGGCTTCAGTCTCCTGGGACCGGGCCTCCTGCTGGGCTCTGAAGTCTTCGGTCTCCTGGGACCGGGCCTCCTGCTCTGCTCCAAGTTCTTCCACTGCCCTCGGGCACATGTCTGTCTCTTTAACCTGCAGCGAGTTGGCTTCTGGAAGGAATGTGAATGCCCTTCCATTCTTTTTGAGGGACCTGCCTTTCAGCCTGGCCCACCTTCTCCGCCACCAGGTGCTGGGCTGAGGAGTTTCAGGAGGCACTTGGAACTGACACTGGGGGGGTGTCCTCTTTGCCACTGGCCAGATAATCCTCCTCTCCGGGCAAGTGACCGGCTCTGCAGCTGGTTTTCTTTTCTTTCCTGGCAAATAGCTTCCCGAGACAGCCCAGTGCGCAGGACTGGTCATCAGCGTCGGGCTCCGAGCAGCACCGGCGCCTCCGGGAGCGCTGGAGGGCCTGCGACCTGCGTGGCGGGGTCGCCCCCACGTGTCTGCATCGGAGGGCTGGTTCTCGGGATAACCCCGTGGGGACACGTGGCTGCAAGACGCCACGGAGATGGCCACCGGTGTGGATTCAAGGGGCCAGCGCTCTTGAGTGTCTTCCTGTTGAGGAAGATCTAAGCCAAAGTCACTCAGGGTTAAACGACCTTCCACCTGAGGCTGGCCAAGGTCATCGTCAGGAAGGGTTAAGACGGAGCCCATGCCCCCGCTCCCCTGACCAAGGTTCGTTCCCAGGTCACTGCGCGAGGCCCCGCGGTCCTCACCCAGCTCATTCGCCCAGCTGTCGCGGGCGGCGGTCTCCTTCACTACAGAGGTGTCCGAGGCTCCGTCTCTAGTATCGGGTCTCCCTGAAGCCTCTCCAAAGAGGGAAGTGATTTCTTCTCCAAAGATCCGACAGCAGTTGTCGATCATAAATTGAATGAGCAGAGTGTTCTTTTTTATAAATTCGGCTTCTAGTTCTAAGCTGCAGGAAGTAGGAGGCCAGAGCATGCTGGGGGCGACACACACCGCCAAGTTGCGTGCGGTCATCTGGTTGAATGGGGCATGGGGCTCGGTGTCGCGCAGCACCCCGAAAAGGTCCCTTAGGAGAACCCCATTGGCTCTGGGGAGCTGGTCTAACAGGCTTTGAATTCTGCGTATTTTCTCTTCATCGTTTTCGTGATCTATCACACAGACCCAGCGACCGTAGAGATCTGATGGCAGGACACTTCCTGGAATATTTTTCAGGAAATCCTTGAAAACGGATGTTACCGCGAAAACAGATTCAGAGTCCAGCTGGACTTCCACCCCGGCATTGAGTCGCTCCTTCAGCTCTCGGCAAGACGCCCTGCTGGCCGACAGGCGAAATCCTCCTCGGGCGAGGGGTCCCCTCTGATGAAGACAGAAGAGCATCTCGCAGACAGGCCGGGCCGGTGGTCGCGCTTGCAGAGATTTGCCAGCGACACGCCAGACAGCTGTCGGGGCACAGGAGGGGCCGCAGACGCGGGCGCCTGATCGGGCGAGCCGGGGAGCCGCGCCCCAAGAGCCGCTGGGGGAGCGCTCCCCGCCTGCGCGAGGTCGTCTCCCCCGGAGCCCTGGGCCCCGGGGCCGCCGCCGGGCGCCTGCGCTTCAGGGCGACCTGGCACCGCACCTCCCGCGGCAGCTGCTCCGCGAGGCTCAGCGCTCGGAGGCCGAGGGCGCTGGGGGCGCCGTCCGCGCCTCGCCCCCGCAGCGCGCTGCCTCCAAGGCGGCTCGCTTTACTTCCGGAGGGACCCTCGTGCCCAATGAGTGGGCGCGATCCCTCTTCTCGGCCACAGTTGCCCCGTCACCGGTGGTCTCTCTCTGAACCAGGCATGCGCAGCATCGGGAGTGACATGTTGATAAGGTCATTGGCTGTGTCTGAATTCCTTGCTGTCACAATCGTGGAGCAGACACGATTCCCCGTGGCCTTGGGGGACGTTGAGAGGGGAATGGTCTTCGGATGGCCCTTCTCTTTCTCTAGGCTGATGTGTCTCTGACGCAGAAGGGGCCACCTGTCCTTCTCTTCTGCGGAGCTGGAAGTGGCCACCACGTTGACCGCGGGCCAGCCCAGGACAAACGATCGAGTGGCGTCCGTGTGGCCTCCTGCCACCTCATTCACACAGCTCGCCGCCCACACGCCACTCAGTGTCGCCTTCGGGTTCAGCTTCCACTTACTGGACGTGAGTTTGGCCACCACGAGCAGATCCTCCCGAGGAAAAGGTGCCGCCCCCGCCTCTGAGGGCCTCTCTGGAGCTCGACGCGGCCCTGCGGGAGCGCGGTCCTGCTGGGGGCCGCGAGTCTGGACAGAAACGCCCGTGTGTTCTGTTCGGGAGGTCCCGCGGCCTTCCCGGGTCCCGGGCCGCGCTGCGGGGGGCTCCGCCCAGGGCCACCCACGGAGCGCGCCCCCTGCCGCCTGCCCGCGCTTCCATTTTCCCCGTCTGGGTTGCTGGGAGCCCTGCCGGGCTCCACCGGCCCGATGCCCTGGAAGCGGATGCCCGGGCCCTGGGGCGAGACCCCGGTCGGGCACCTGGGGGGGCCTGGGAAGGCCCTGTCCCCGCCCCCCGGCCGGGGAAGCGGGGCTGCTGCCCGCCTCGCTGCGGATGGAGGCGAGGCTGGCGCTGCTGCTGGGTCCACTCGGAGAGGGATCGCTCTCGCACGCAGAGGGTTCTCGGGGCGTCGCGGGGAGGTCCGGAGAAGGCGAAGGGTGCTGGGGTGACTCGGGGGGAGCAAGGGCCGGGCCGCTCCTGACGGCAGTTAAGCCGGGAGGTTCTAGAATGAGGACCGGAGGCTGAGTCATTAAATCGCCATGGAGACGGTGTCACATGCCCAGGTGGGGGACAGCGGGGCCGCGCGGGGCTCCTCTGGTGGCCTCGCGGGGTGGCTTGTGTCCTCGCCTTCTTGGTGCGGGGCTTCCCTTTTGCGGACGGACCCTTTGGGGGCAGGTGCTCGTGATCCCCCAGTGGCACCTGCAGTGTCCCAGCCCTTCATTTCTCCTGGCGGGCTCGCCCGCAGTGAGAGAGTGGGGGGCTCTGACCTCCGCTCTGGGTCCTGCGAGTGTGGGGAGGCCTCCAGCCCCGGCAGATGCTCCGCAAGCCCCGGAGCCCCCGCAGCACTGCCGTGGGAGGCAGAGCCAGGGATCCGCCGCCAGCACTCGGGTCGCGGGCGGGCAGGACTGGGCCATCAGCCAGTATTTTAAAGTCTAAATATTCCAGTCCATGTCCCTGTGTTTACTTACCGGGTTTTCCAGCGTTCGCTGTAGGCCTTTCTAGCTTCTGACCATCTAATCATGCCAATGGCATTACGCGTTGGGAAAGCTGTAGCCTGCTGATCAGATGGCGTCTAACGTCCCCATTTAAAAAATGGGTCTCATCCTATAGAGAACCATCAGGTGTCACCTTCCCTCTACCATGAGCCTCTGAACGCTGTGGTGCAGTTCGGTCCTCCGAGGCAGAGGGGCGCCAGAGGGGCGTCAGAGGCGATCCCCCTCCCTGGGGGCATTTATTGGCTCCCTAGACACCAGAAAGCTGCCTTTGCCTCATACAGTGAACACGGATACTAGAGAAGGATGCTTAGAGTATTTCAAAACAAAGCAGGATTAAGACAGAAAATAAAAAATAGCTTTAATTTGTACTGCCACACATATTCGGGTGGGAAAAATAAAGGTCCTATATCTAAGATGTCATTTTTCTTCCACAGGTATTTTGGGAATCTGTAGTTTTTAAACTCAATGTCTTTTTTCCTCTGCTTTGAGCAACAGGATCCCTGCCGTACACTATCGACACGTGTGCAGTTAACATGGGGCATTGAGACGTTCTCACAGGTCATGGTGCTGTATGACAATTTCCAGTGAATACTTTTTGTGTGTGTGACATTCTATGAGAAGCACAGAAAAAAGAATAAAGCAAGTGTGCAGTGTCCTGAGTTGCCTCAAGTCACACATGGTCATGCACCAAGAGTCACTGTTTCACTTAGTTCACCTGGGGAGCAAGTACAGTTACAAACCGAGAGGGTACAGTAGGTATCCATCAATTTTACTGAAAATGGAAATAAACTTGAGACTACCTATTAATGTCATAATATACTATTACGCCGGTAGAAAACACGTGTGGTTTTCAAATTTTTAATTTTATTAAATTTATTGGATGGACACTGCTTCACACAAGTATATAGGTTTCAAGCGTACAATTCTACAATAATTATCTGTATATTGCATTATGTGTCCAACACTCAATTCTTCCTCTGTCACCATAGATTTGACCCCTTTTACCCTGTCTTCTTGCCCCTGCCCCCCTTGCCCTCTGGCAACCACCTATCTGTTGTGCCCATGAGTTTTTGTTTAATTGTCTTGTTGGTTCGTTTTTTGCTTTCAGGTTTATATCCCGCATATGAGTGAAATCATATGGGTCTTGACTTTTTCTGTCTATGTTGCTTAGCATGATACTCTCAAGATCTATCCATGTGCTGAAAATGGTCATATTTCATCCAACATTTTTAAATCCACAGAAAGCCACTGGAGCTGCTATGACTGAACTGGATTTTGGGGGCCTAAGACCCACAAACTTGATCCTTGGTTAATTACCCAAGAGCAGGCTGATAGGTACCTTTCGGAGCTGAAGGCACCTCTCAGCCAATGGAGTTTCTAAACTTTTAGAATAACATCAGAATAAGCTGCTTTCCCAAATTCAGCTAAAAGTGGTCACCCTACCTCCTCAATGTCCACAGCACTTGGATTTCCCATGTGACATTCTGCATTATTCCTCCATGTGAATACTCCACATCTTTCCCCACAAACAGAGGCTGGGATCTTGCTCATATTTATGTTCCCTGTGGCATTTTTACGCAGGAGTTGCAGGGGATCAATAAATATGAATTAATTAAAGTCTTCGGCTCTTTCCCTGTTGTCAGATGCAGACCTGACATTAGGATAGGATGCTAAGCTCCTTCACGGAAAGTCAAATGTACCCCGCTGGAATCTGAAGGAAGAAGGAGGTGGCGGGAGAGGAGGCAGGGGAAGGGGGAAGCTGTCAAGGGAGACAGGCACTCAAAGGCCTAACACTGGAAAGAAAATAGGGAAATCTGAAAGTAGGTCAGAACAGTTGTAGCCTAGATCGTGTCCAGGAGAGGAGAGGTGGACACAAAGCCTGGGGAAGTTAACACGGCCCTGGAACTGAAGTGCCTTTTATTTCATGTGAAGAGTTCTGCGTTTTATCCTAAGATAATTTGGAACCCTTTAGCTGGGAGAGAGCTTTTCAGATTTGTAAATGAAAGAGAACACTTGGACGACAGAACTCTCCTCTGGATTGAAAAAGAGGAATATAGGCATCACTAGATTTGTTTTTGCTATCATCACAATTTTTATCCCTGCAGCCCAACCTCAAATGCTCACACGTGTGCAGGCACACACACACATTCATGTAGAATAGCTCTCACAAACTCACTTGGGATACTCACATGCTATTAACTTATTTAAATTCATGTTTACACCCTGGCTGGTGTAGGCTCAGTGCACTGAGTGCCGGCCTGCAAACCAAAGGGTCGCTGGTTCGATTCCCAGTCAGGGCACAGGCCTGGGTTGCAGGTCAGGCCCCCAGTGTGGGTGCGCAAGAGGCAACAACACATTGCTGTGTCTCTCCCTCCCTTCTTCCCCCTCTCTAAAAATAAATAAGTAAAACATTTTTAAAAAATCATGTTTACATGTTATTTATCCAACCCTACAATAATTTCAGAATATTTTAGCAGAAGAAATATCAAACTATTCCTATTCTTTTTTTCTACAATTCTACAAAAAGTTCATAAAACTCTACAGCCATATTAATATTCAGTGGTGTGACGCCTGTAATTAGTCATGGCAATCGGCCAAAGAACAAGAGTTTGCTCTAAGGAAATAAAGAAAAATATTTTGTTTGTCCATTAGAATGCTCCCTGGTTCCAGAAAATTCAAGAGTTAAGAGTTACAGCACAATGGAGTTAGTTGCACCTTAGAGATCGTGGGACCCGATTTCATTTCCAAGGATGAGATGACCAGGGTCTCCGAAATGACAGTCACTTGCTCATTGTCCTCATATCTATCACTTCGGTGCAGAGGAGAAAGCTTTTGCAAGTTCTGAGGGATTTCCCCCCCACTGCCCAGACTCACCGCATGAAACAGCCAACCTTCGGCCTGGTGTGTTGCTGTGCCTCACGCTGAATTACACACAGTAGCCCCGTGCACTTGTACACCTACCTACTCTTTCTAAATTATGGAGCCATTCCTCTGACCTTGGAATTCCTTCGGTAATAAAATAAAAATAAAGAAGACTCCTTCTCTCATAGAATACTCTTTTTAATTGAGGTCAACCACAACAAAAGCAAAATAGCAGCTTCCCAGGCAAGATTTGGACACTCACGACCTCTGTGGCCTCATGTAGTGAGGTAATGGATACATAAAGCCCCTGATTTTCCTCACCTGTGGCATCAGCATCTCGAAAGATCACCCCTGGTTCCGCAGCCCCAAGAGAGAGAAGATAAACCGTTGTCTTCCCTTCACTCCTCTGTAGAGTCTGTTTCTTAACGTACAATCACCTCAAGTTCAATTTAAGTTTGGTGGTTAATTGACGCATCATCATTTTAGACTGCCCTTTTTTGGAAGTATTGAAAAAAAAAAGGACCACTCTTTTAAAGCTGGTAACACTCTCTAGAATAATGAATTCTATTCAACAATCTTTAGCTGGCTATCATCGAAACTCTGTTCATATTAATACTATCTTTTATCCAATGTTCATAATCCAGCTATAATGATTTCTTTTGATCTTTCTTTCATTAGACTCCACAGATCTGTAACCCTTCAACATTATTCTTTTTCCCCAACTGAGCCTGGGCATCTGATCTCCAGTCAAGCAGTGTTCTAAAGAACTCGGTTTTGCTGACCTTGAATAAGACGTCATTAATGACCTTGGTCATTGCTGCTGGGTGTTGTTTTTGCAAGCCAGGAAGCAGTGCTGGATGAGAGGAGGGAAAACACTGCAGGACTGTTTTCTTCGTAGAAGCTGTAACCATAAACAGTGACCTGGAGAAACGTCACTTACAGTGGGCTCCCAAGTTGTCATGCTCAGGAGCTTAAAGGAACCCTGAAAGTAAAATGTTTAAAGAAAGTGTGTGTGTTTGTGTGTGTGTATGTATGGATAAGGAGAGGTTTGCAAAGATCTAGTCCAGGTAAAAAAAACATATAAATCATTTTTCTGTGTGACACAGTAGCTCTACTTGCACTCATAAACTCTACAGAGGACCCCTCACTGTGCAGTTCAGATGAAATAAATGAAACCAGAAAAATAAATGGACATACATACCAATTTTGCATCATTTCCTATCTTACTAATAATAATTTAATCTTTTTCATGTTCAAAGTAGAAGTCAAAGAATCTCCTTTGTACTGACTTAAATCAGCTTATTGATTGCACAGCAGTTTCTCTTTATGTTTCCCAAACACCTGAAGGTAAGATGGTTAAGTCCTTCAATCCTTAATTCATAGCATCTAAACTCATGGTTATAACTCTTTGGGGCTGCCATAAGCATATTTAAGATTTTGTCACCTTGCTCAGGTGGGCTTCACCTTCATTCCCCCCCTAACCTATACTTTGTTGTTGTTTTTGTTTTTGTGAACATTTCTGGGACACAATGTTCCTATAATCAGAGCTGGGATCAGGAAGTAAACACCTCTCCACACCCCAAGTAAAGAGGGAGGTGCCTAGGGGCTGGGTATGTCTGGTGACACCTTGAGGCCATTACTTAGGACACAATAGAGACAGGAGCTAGGAAGAT